TCCTCGCCGGTGGTCCTGCCCTGGTTACTAGCACCCAAGGTACTAAATACAAATACTGGGTTTTTTGGTTCCTCAAGACCTCCACCATCCACCCTAAGGCCTGGCTTTTGTCTTTTGTCTGCAAGTTTCAGGATTTTCCTATGCCTTCCCTAGTGGAGGCTCAAAAATGTCCCTTGACCCACCCAGAGCTGCTTGATTATGTGTTGCCCATGTTAATAGTTAACTTTTAGCAGATTCATTTCTATCAGGCTGACAGTTCACAACCCTAGAATGGGTGAGGGTGGGAGCCTGGAGAAAGCCTAGTCTACTTTAAAGTCTTCTGCAGAAATGAGCTGCTCACTGGGAGAGAACCCCAGGACGATGGTGGAAGCTGCCATTTAGTAGTTGGTTGGGTCATTGATGCTCATAACCCTGCGTGATGTGCTGAGACCATAGGCCCCCACAGACTCCCCTCCCTCTCTGTCCCCGAGAGGAACCAGACATCTCGTTTTACATCCTTTGAATTTCAGGTGATGAAAAGACAGTTGGGGGAAAAGCTGAAGATGATTTACTAAGGCCAGTCAGTAGTGGAACCGAGAGCTCTGGGGAACATAACATCTATCAGTATAGTTTCTTCTACTTTCCCCACCTGCTACACTTCTGACCCACCCTTCCTTCCCCATGGTCTTTCCTTCATGTGGACAATCCAACTTTTTTCAATTTTAAGTAAAATGCTTTGTAAACAACCCCAGTTCAGACTTGCCCCCAAACTGACTGCTACCCTTGGGCCGGCAGCGAAGACCCCAGCTTGAGTTTTACTCTTGCAATGTACTGTGCTCCCCCCAGCCCATACTTTAAGGGGACATGGAGTAGGCATAAGGGGGTATGGTTACAAATCCACATCTTGGTGTCTTGGTCAAGTTTGTCTCTGGAGCACTTGATCTTTGTTTCCATGTTTTGTTCCTGTGCCTGGAGTGGTAGGCTATCTGGCCAGCTGGTGGCCAGGGAAGGGCGGGAGTGTTTGGGGGCCTGGCAGCCGCAGGCCCTGCAGGTTTCTGTTGCCCAGCCTTTTCACATCAGTGCCCAGCCTCTGACCAAGCTCCTCAGAGAGTGGCACAGGTTTGCTGCTCTCCAAGAGGGGAGTAGGCATAGAAAGAAGCAGTGTGGTAAATATAACCATAAAGTACGTCCACAGAGCAGACAGGCTGCTTCTAGGGTGAGACACTCTGGACCAAGTGAAGGGGTGACAGTAGGTGGAATTTCAATTCAGGAGCCTCCGATGGTAAGAGAATTTCTACACTTTTTTTTTTTTTTGTCTTTTTCGTGACCGGTAAGGGAATCGCAACCCTTGGCTTGGTGTCACCCGCACCACGCTCAGCCATTGAGCTCACCAGCCATCCCTATATAGGATCCGAACCCGCGGTGGGAGCGCCGCTGTGCTCCCAGCGCCGCGCTCTCCCGAGTGCGCCACGGGGCCGGCCCAGAATTTCTACACTTCTGCAGAAGGTTCCAGAACAAATGTTTCTTATTGACTTTCTCCTGTGTCTTTCATTTTCCCCTGGGAGGGTTGAGTCTGGCACTTTGGAGACATCCCTGAGGCACTAAAATAACTTACTTCTTTAACCTGTGCCAAGGGAACAAAGGGGCCCCAGCATCTCTTTAGTGGGAAGAACCTGGTCCTCTGAGCCACCAGCACACTCCAGTCTTTGTCTTTCCATCTTCTCTTCTTACCCTGCCCCACCTGCTGCTACTGCTGGAAGGTGCCCTCCTTACTTGAGGGCAGCTGGCTCAGCTCCCTGGGAGGCCTAGAGTGGCTCCTCTGGACCCATGCATGGAGCATGGGACAGGGTTTCCCCTGGCAGCAGGGGCTGTGCGGGGAGGACCCCTGCCCGGCTTCCCCATCCTGGCTACGTCAAGAGCTGTGTATGATTTCTTCTTCTCTTCTCTTTTTCCTCCAAAGGATCTTTCATAAACTTTTTTTTCCCGTAAGAATAACTTGTAGTTAAGGAAAAAAAATCTCCACTGGAGCAGAAAGCTCCCTTTACATGTCTGCCAAAGGGCCAGGGCCACGTGGATTTGAAGTGTCGTTCTAGGCTCGATCGTGTCTGAGGTGGACAAGATGTGTGTTCGTAGCAGCAGCTGTTTCCTGGGCCAGGACATTGTACTGCTCTTTAGTTGTGGTAGACTCTCCCCTGACCCTTTGTGGGGTGAGTTCATGTCTCAAGTACTGGGCCAGGCAGGAGGGCTCTGCTTGCTGAATTTACCCATCCTGTGGGGGATGGTGTGGGCTCCAAAGCCAGGACACTGTGTCCCAAAGCAGGATCTTTCCTAGAGGAGAGAGTCTCTGTGCTGGGGGGTGGGGGGGAGAAAAGGTCACCCGAGAAAAGATGGCTCTTCTCTAGCACTCCAGGCTGTCAGAGAAGCCATGCTGAAGGGCCAGGGGCCACTGGGTTGGCAAGGAGCAGATATGTCGTAAAGGTTCACTTCTACATGAATGCCCATCCAGGTAGAGCTGCCAAAATGACCCTGGGTCTCCCACACTTGAAGTGGTTTTCTGTTTGTGTTTTTCAGTATTTTGAAGTTGCTGCAGATAGATCTGAGAAATAAGAGCTGACGTGGGAACTGTTTTGTGCTAGTCTGGCCTCTGTGGCATACCCAAGACATTCCGCCTTACAGCTCTTCAGAGTGTCTTAAGGCTGGATTTGGGGTGTTTGTTGGAGCTGGTAGAAATTGGGAGTTTCAGTGGAGAGTAAATTTAGCCACAGTGTTTTCCTGACAGTGCCACTAGCAGCTTAATGTTTGGGCAGAGGGAGAGTCGGAGTTGGGAACTGTGGTAATTGTAAGTCTCCTACTAACTGTAGCCACATTTTATTGAGTTTAGACACTCAGCGGGGGCCTTGCCATAGCTGATGCCATTAAGTCCTCACAATAGTCCAATGAAGGGCTGGCTGGTTTGCTCAGATGGTTAGAGCACAGCCTTATAACACCAAGGTCAAGGGTTCAGATCCCTGTCCCTGTGCCCATAAAAAATATATACATACATACACACACACACGTGTGTGTGTTTGTGTGTATCTCAGTAATCCAATGAGATGGGCACCAACTCTATAGGTGAGAAAACTGAGTTAGAGAGAGGCTATTACTGGCCCATGGCCACTGATCTGGTAAGCAGCCATGCGTAACATCAAGCCAGCCTGATGCTGAAGGCTGTGCTAGGCTGCATTGCTGTGCTGGGTGATGCTAGAGTGTTGACTCCGGTTAAACAACTTGCCTGAGATGACGCAGCTGGTTGGTGGCAGAGCCAGGATTCAGGCAAGCCTGCCCCCCACGAGCAGAGACCCAGAGGTAGAAGGATGTGCTGGGAGGACTTGTGCAGGAGTCCCAGCTGCTGGGGGTAGGCGACCCCTGCAATGGAATTCTCCCTGGTCTGGAGGAAGGAGGCTTGTTTCCCTCTCCTGATATTTAACCATGCTAAGGGGAACGATTTACAAAGAAAAAATCATCAGTGGTCTGCTACCTTCACCTTTTGTTTTTCTGTCTTCCTTCTCAGTTCTTAATCCTGCTACTTAATGGTTCTGGTTTTGTTTTTTTTTTTTCCCTTAACATTATACCCAGGACTCTTTTTTTTTTTTTTTTTTTTTTTTTTTTTCCCTTAACATTATCCCCAGGCCTTTTTTTTTTTTTTTTTTTCCCTTAACATTATCCCCAGGCCTTTTTTTTTTTTTTTTTTTCCCTTAACATTATCCCCAGGCCTTTTTTTTTTTTTTTTTTTCCCTTAACATTATCCCCAGGCCTTTTTTTTTTTTTTTTTTTCCCTTAACATTATCCCCAGGCCTTTTTTTTTTTTTTTTTTTCCCTTAACATTATCCCCAGGCCTTTTTTTTTTTTTTTTTTTCCCTTAACATTATCCCCAGGCCTTTTTTTTTTTTTTTTTTTGTCTTTTTCGTGACTGGTAAGGGGATCGCAACCCTTGGTGTGGTGTCCCCCGCCCCGCGCTCAGCCAGTGAGCGCCCCGGCCACTCCTATATAGGATCCGAACCCGTGGTGGGAGCGTCGCTGCGCTCCCAGCCCCGCACTCTCCCGAGTGCGCCACGGGGCCAGCCCAGGACTCTCATTTTTTATAGCTGCATAATAACTCCGTGAAATTGATATAATTTACTTGTTCATAACACATCTTTTTGCATATAGCCTTTTTATTTTTGGATTACTTCTATTAGGGTAAGTTCTAGAAGCAGAATTGTTAATTTGAAGGATTTAAATATTTTTATTATCACTATTAATTCAATCATGGGCGATATCTTATTCTGTTGTTTAGCTTCACTAACAAGACGTGTTATATCTGAAAAATCTATTTTGCTATTTTAATAAGTAGCAAAATGGTATCAGCCAAGTTTTAAATTTGTATTCTCAATATCGTAGAGAGGCTGAGTGTTTTTCATGTTTGTTTACTAATTTATATAGTATAGAAATAAACTTTTATCATCTTTGATGGTGTATATTTTTGCCAGTCTGTATTTTTTCCTCTTTTATTTGTAATATTTATTTTCTAATAACATTTTATTTTGTAGAATTTCAAACATGTACAAAAGTAGACAGAAGAGTCTGTGGTCCCATCAACCTGGGGCTTAGTTTCAACAGTGGCGAGTGCTGTCTCACCCCCGTGAACATACCCCTCCTTTATTATTTTGAAGCAAATCCCAGATAAGATCATTTAATCCATGATTATTTCAGTATCTCTAAAAGATGACCTTTTAAACAATCATAACCACATCCCTGTTTATTTTTTAATTTAGCCAAACTTCTTTAATGTGTCCTTTTTATCCATTTTTATTCTATCCTTTGAAAAGAAGGGTTTTTCTCAAAGGTTGGACAGAGGAATTAGAGAAGAGTCAGATGTCGATACTGAGCACCTTCAGAGTTGGAGGAGAGGCCTCGTGTCTGGGGTCTGGCGCCGTTGCTGACAGACGGGGGGCGTGGAAAAAGGCTCGCCTTCACCTGCCTCTTTGCTTTTGCAGGCTTATTTGGTCACCATGAAGCTGCCGTGCCCCGCCTTCCATAGCTGCTTCCTGCTGGCCCTGCTCAGCTTATGGAGAGCTGTCCCTGAGGCCCGCGCCTCATCGCCAGGCATGCCCACCATCAGCGCTGCCTCGTTCCTGCAGGATCTCATGCACCGCTACAGCAAGGGTGACAGCCTCACTCTGCAGCAGCTTAAGGCCCTGCTCAACCACCTGGATGTGGGAGTGGGCCGGGATAACGCCACCCAGCTCACGCAGGGACCGAGGAACCTCTCAACGGTAGGACTCCCTTCCATGTTCACAGCTCTGCTTCGTGTCCCTGTCTGGTCAGGCACAGGGTGGCCAAGCAGCCTGGTATAGGTGAGGGGGGCAGGCAGGTCTTGATGACAGAGTAGACAGGCCAGTTATTTTCACTCATTGTCTGGATCAGCAAATCTTCAGTCTCCAGCAGTGCCTCCTGGCCACCTGCCATGGTGTTTTGAAGCCCTTAAAAAAAGGTAGCTGTGAAGTGGGGTTTTCACCTGCCCAGACTCTTCCTCAGAGCTGTGTTTGCATCACCTAGAACTGCTGGTAAGCTGCAGCTCCCAGGACAGCCTTTCTAATAGAGTTTACAGTTTACAAAGCCCTTTGCATCCTATCCCAGGGGAGCCTTGCAGTCCGTCTAGGTGCAGGTGGAATTCTCTTCTTTATAGGATAGAACACTGAGGGTCCCCAGTGAGTTCCCAGAGGGATCACAACTAGAACCCAGGTCTTTTGGTTCCTGGTTCTCTGTTCTTTCTTCCATATTATCTTGACTAATCAGAGTCTGAGGCTATTTGTGGCAGCCAAATATAAGCCACCCAACAAAGTCTTTATATATCTACTTTGTTCCCTGCACTGAGTGTTGTGAGAAATAGAGAAAAATGAGTCATATTCAAGGAGTTTACTGTCAGGATGTGGAGCTCAACCAGCAGAGGACAAAGTCAGCTAGTATTAAAATGAAGCATCACACTTGGTGGGCTGGACAGTAATTGTGGGATTCAGAGATGAGAGGGGGAGATGAGTGCGTGCTGGCATCATCGAGGAAGCTTCCTGGACGAGGTGTCCTGGAGCTACACCTTGAAGGGTGAGTAGAGTTTGGAGAGAGAAAGTGGACACGGGACCATGTGGTGCCGGTGCAGAACCCCCCGAGCATGGTTGGTGTTGGAGTCAGTGCTGCAGCTGGACCCCCAAGGGCCTCCACCAGGGTCTCAGGGCCTGCCAGGGCTGCAGCAGGGAGTGTCCTGGGGTCGCCGGAGTCCAGCCCTCAGCTTTATAGACTCAGAAACTCATCTTGTTAGCACACCCAGAGGCTGACTCTTAGTAAATCCAAACTCGGAAAAGGACTGACGTGTACAAAGTATAATTAGAAGTAGAACAGCAGTGTTTCAAAGGAACGTTTCCTGAGAACCACTTAACTGATACCGCCCAAGGTTTCTGCTGGCCAGCCCATGCTTGCTCCATGCTGGCTTTGAATCTTTAGATTTTCCTTCCCTAACCTCTGTCAACACATCCTTTAAGAGGAGGACAGTACTGTATGATTGAGGGGACTAATACTCCCCACTGTTGGTCTGATTGGGTCATCTGTAGTTTCTGAGGAGCCCCACCTCTCTACCTGCCAGTACTGAGAAGCATCTGGAATCTGCAGTTTAATATAATAGCTCCCTGGACTATTGCGATATGCAGCCAGATTTGGTATCTAGATGAAGCTTGTATCTTCAGGTATGCACACCTTGGTCACAATGATTGGAATCTGGTTCCTAAAATTTCTCAGGCAGCTGTTTACAGACAGGTGTGCTTTGTGGGTGGCTGATCTCTAAGATTACTTATCAGTTTTTCAAGTTGAGGGACTACCTTGTTCTCATTCTTAGAGATGAATCTACAAATTCCCTGAAATTTGGACATCCTCTGTCTTCTCTTTTCCTCTTGGAAAGCTAAGTGGGTTGCTGCTTCCCTGGGCAAGGCATGACCTTGGGTTCTCAGAGGCTCTCTGCCCCTCCCTTGTTTCAGTGCTTTAGTTCTGGAGAGCTCTTCGCTGTGCACAATTTCAGCAACGAGTCACACATTGGGAGGAGTGAGTTCCAGGAGTTCTGCCCCACCATCCTCCAGCAGCTGGATTCCCGGGCCTGTACCTCTGAGAACCAGGAGAACGAGGAGAACGAGCAGACAGAGGAGGGGAGGCCGAGCACAATCGAAGGTAAGCCAGGCGAGGCGGGCCGCAGCCTGCTCTCCCGTGAGCTGCGGGGCCGTGCCAAGCTGACATCTGCTCGCTGGGAGTGATGGCTGTACTGATATGTTTAGTATGCACGAGACTCCTAGCACATTGTCAGACTCCCGGGCAGTGTGGCTGGGGAGCGTTCAGAGTGTTGGACTGTTTGACCAGCCTGTGGATGCCTTTTTTGTTCACTTTCTTTCTTTTTTTTTTTTTTTCCTGTGGCTGGCTGGCACAGGAATCCAAACCCTTGACCTTGGTGTTACCAAGCGGTGCTCTGACAATTGCACTAACCGGCCAGCCTTCCACTATTCATTTTGGTTTTCGTTAAACCATAAGGAGACCACTGCTTTGGTTTTTCAGTTTAACCTTGAACACCTCACAGAGTCTGCTCTTGGCCCGCTCTGCTGTAGCCACAGGGGACTCGCCATGGTCTGTGAGTGTGCACAGCTCCTGAGGCCCCTGGCTGGCCTTCTGGAACCCTGTAGCGCTGGTGTGTGCTCCGTGCTTCCTGGTACCCAGTGTGTGCTGCCTGTGTTATGTCTCCTAGTGTTTCCTGCTGTCGTTGTTTGACTTATATGATATTTACCCCTTTGTGGTGTTTGCAGCTTCTCCATTGGAAAGGTAAACTGCTTTTGGATAGCAACTTTGATGTATATTTCTTAGGCTTCTCCACAGAACCCAGTAAGAGATGGACCCAACAGCTGTTTACTGATGCAGGTGGATCTCTGTCTGCCCGATCACCCTGAATTCAGAGTGCCCCCACCCTCAGTAACAGAGGCCCTCCATCTGCTCTTCTTCCTCCACAGTGTGGGGCTTTGGTTTCCTCAGCGTTTCGCTGATTAACCTGGCCTCTCTCCTGGGAGTCCTCGTGCTGCCGTGCATGGAGAAAGCGTTTTTCAGACGTGTGCTCACTTACTTCATCGCCCTGTCCATTGGAACGCTGTTCTCTAACGCGCTCTTCCAGCTCATTCCAGAGGTGCAGTAGAACAGACACGTGCGCATCCTCTTTCCCAGGGCACCATAGCCAAGCCCCCCCTCTGGCTGATGTTTACCCCCACCCTGCACCCTGAGGCATCTGACAACCGCCGCCTGAAAAATGGACCTATCCCTCCTATCTCGGGCCACAAGTGACTTCTAACTCTGGATCTCAGGGGCCTTCTGTCACTCCTCTGGGCACCCAGGTTTGCCTCCAGCCTCTTCAGTGGATGTCAGATGCAAGGCTCTTAGCCTTTGCCCTCCCTGCTGGGCATCTGTCAGTCTCCTTTCCTAAGCCCCATTTGTAGGAGAGCCACAGCTCGGGGGTGCTGCCCAGGCCCTTGGTGTGACACACGCCTTCTGTTCTAAGGAGAAGCCTGGCAGGACTCAGGTGTGGGGACCAAGAGATTATCCATCTGGAATGAGGTGGAAGGAAAAGAGGTTACTAACTGATACGTACAATTGGCCTAAAAAGTGAGTGATCCTTATTTTTAAGCAGGCCATAATTGGTAGCATAGAGAACAAACATGGAACAAAGACTACTGAACAAGAACAAACAAAATTAAAAATACAAAATAAATGAAAGGGGCACTCAATCCTTCCTGCCTTGCATCTTGACTTTGTCCTGAGAAGACTGACATCCTGGTACCCTTACTTGACTGTTTTGATATGTTTGTTAATTTGGTTTTTAACTGTTATCACTGAGGAGCTATAACAATAAGACCCAAGGTGACAGTCTGCCCACCTTTTCAGCCCAGGCAAGGACGCTGCTGTAAGGGCATGATAATGTGCAGACATGGGTCAAACCCCTTTGAGAATGGAGGAAGCTGCCTTTCATGTAAAAGAACCGTGACAGTGGCTTCCGGCCTTTCCTAATCAAAAGACTAATGCAGAAAAGACAGCAGGTGGGAAGCCAGGCCTTGCACTTCTCCTTCTTAGTGAGAGAAGAAATCTGGTCGAAGGCTCACCATCTTGATGCTGTCGCAGAATCCCGCATGGATCTAGCAAGCACTTCTCAGGGAAGACCTCATCTTGGGCTATTTTTTCAGCTCCAGAAATTGAATTTATTAATCTTGTAAAGATTCGAAATAAAAATGCCTCGGTGCCTGTTTGAACGGAAATGCCATAATCATACCCGCTCCGCCCCTGTGGCTCGCTGGGGGGGTGTCTCATCCTGGCACAGTTCTGTCCTGCCCTCTTTTGGGCCTGGACCATAGCCCAATGTGTAGCACACTGGGAAATGCTAAAGGAAATATTTTTTATGACCGGGTTTATCCTGGAACTCTGTTCTATATGATTGAATCCCTCTGAAAGCAAATGGAAACAAACAAACAAAAACTGAGAAATTAAGAAATTTTACAGGCATCAGGTCTTAAAGGTTCTTTGTCCCTTCTGCCCTGTACATCTGACTTTGTTGTGTCTTGCACAAACCAATCTGTGTCCAGGTAGTGTCCCGTGTGCCTTCACGATGTGGATGGGATGTATGGAAGCAAACACAGTGACATGATGATCAGTCTCTTTCCACTTTTGTTTACTGTAAAAGAGAGCCAGCCCTCGAGTCCAAAGTCTGTCTTGGGCAGCCTCTGTGACAGGCCTGAGCACACACCTCAGAGGTGGGACAAGGCAGCACCCCACCCCGCCAGTCACCCTGGCTGGTAGGTGTGACTGGAGCCACCAAGGGCAGCAGGGGCGGTAGTCACAGGGTTCAGAGGCCACCGTGAATTCCTCTTCATTTCTTCTGAACTGATTGAAGGAAATTTTATCAGACTGAAATCACTAATAAATTTTCTATTTCTCTCTCCCTCCCTACTTGTCTCTCTCTGATTTTCCTTTTTGTCTCCCCCTTGTTAATATCCACCAAAACTTTCCTTGTTGCCCCTGCCCCGTCCTCTCCACCTTCTTTCCCCTAAACGGCGGCTGCCGTGCCATGGGGCACTGGCCCTTCTTCCTGACTCGGGTGGGGCTGGCCCTCCCTCCCAACGGCAGTGTGGGGATACGGTCTCCTCTGTGTGACCGTCATCTCCCTCTGCTCGCTCATGGGGGCAAGCGTGGTGCCCTTCATGAAGAAGACTTTTTACAAGAGGCTGCTGCTCTACTTCATAGCTCTAGCGATTGGAACCCTCTACTCCAACGCCCTCTTCCAGCTCATCCCCGAGGTATGGCAAGCCAGGGCATTCTGAGCAGGAAGGAGCATGCCAGTCTCCGGCAGGGGGGACAGCAGGCACAGTGGGATGCCCCTCCACTTAGATGGAAGGCATAGAGAGGAGACCCTGGGGTCCTTCCCTTTTGGAAAGTGAAGCTAGGACTTAGGCAGGAGCTAGCAGAGGCAGCAATAGCAGAGGTTGAAGGGCTGCGTTCAGATCTCAGCTCTACCATCTGTACATTCTGTAACCTTGGCCAAGCCACTCACTTCTCTGTATTTCTGTTTCCCCATGTGTAAAATAGGGAAATCAGTAGGACTGACCTCTAGATGTTGTTGTGAGGTCAGTATTGTCGTGAAGCTAATATTCGTGAAATGTCTAGTGCCTGGAGCCTGGAAAGTACTATGGAGTTAAAAGATAAAGAGTGTAGCTAGATCATATCAGGGCTCTTAAATTGGGGCTTTTGGCATAGAGAAGTAGAAAACACTCCAACAGAATCCATCAGTTTCAATAAAAAGATCAGTTCTCCTCAGTAGGGAGTTTTGGGGCAAAGGTAATCCAAATAAAACAAAGTCTAGGTTTGCATACATTGACGGTACCTTTGCCCTTTGCCTAGGTTAGTAAGATATTCACTGCAAAGGAAGGGAGAGCTTAGTGTTTGTAAAGTTTGGCATCACCTTGGAGATGTTTCATCTGATTTGGTGTAATCTCTTCCATAGACCGATAATTACAATAAGCATGAGTCAGTTCATTGCAGGTGGTCTGATGGACCTGGACAAAGCCTTAATTGAAGCAAAAAGATGACTGCACATGCTTCTCACAATATTTTGTGTTTTCCAAAATGCTGTTTTGTGTTCTCCTAGTTGATCTTAGATCAGCTCTGTGATGTCTATAGTACAAGTAGTATTTTGCCCGTTGGAATCTGGCCTGCACAGAAGCACATATCTCTGAGCCTAGCCTCCAGGTTGTATGATTCCTAAAGCCATGCTTTTGTATTCTGCCATCCTTCATGGCTTTTTGTGGAGAGGATTTAGTTACCTGTTTACACTTTGGTTTTCCCTAAGATGATCTGACTCTCCTGGAAAATCGACCTAAATGTGTTGTGTCTACCCTAGAACTTGGCCTTTGTGTCTCTTAGAAAACTACACTAAGGGGTAGTGATTGAATTTGGTCCCTTTAAAACATAAAGGGAAAACACTTACCTTTTAAATAGCCCAGAGTTCCTCATGGTTATGATCACTTTTATCTTTGACCTATTCATGAGAGGGCTGGAGTTTATTCCTGTCAGAAGATAGAGGAGCAGGTCAGATCCCGCTATCAATCAGGAGCTTAACTTAGAACAGAATTCTATTTTTACTCCTGTCCTCTTGCCATTGGATTCCCCCAACCCTCTTTAATAAGTGAAGTTTTTAGAAAGAACTCAAAACCCCCCAAACTGGCGCCTGCAGCAACAGTCTGCTTTCTTGGCTTTGTGGTCACTGGGAGGCCTGTGGTCAGGAAGAGGCTGCAATTCTTACTCTTAAACCGGAGAATGGGTTTCCCATTTTAGAAAGTGTAATTACACCCTCTGTGTTTACAGGCAGATCAGCCAGGGACACTAGATAACATGAAAATGAACACAAGTGTCTTCTCCTTAAATATGGAATTTGCTGACAGAATATGCTTTTGATGTAAAGCACCAAGAGAAATTATGACAGAGTCCTCATTAACCTTCCTGAGATTAAAATTCTGATGATGATCTGTCTTTTGCATTAGAAAATAAATTAGAGAGAACCTTCCAGGTCTGGTAATGTGACATCAGGGAAGCATCAAGGATTAGATTTGCTAGAAAGAGAGTAGGTAGGTGGCATTTACTCCAGTATGTCTGATTCAAGGAGGTAGTTACAAGCTGAGAGGGAACCAGCTTTTTTTTTTTTTTTTTTTTTTTTTTTTTTT